AATAATAAGATGAATAAGTTTTGGACCCCTAATATACAGTATGATGACTATAGTCAATAATGTGTTGTATACTTGGATTTGTGAAGAGAGTAGATTTTAAATATTACCACACACACATACACACAGACAAATTGAAACTTTGAAATGATGGATATAGTAATTAGCTTGATTATGATAATCATTTCACAATGTGTATATATATCAAAACATCCCACTGTGTGCCTGAAATGTATGTGTATATAATTTTATCAGTTATACCTTATTAAGCCAAAGAATAAAATAATCTGAAAGATGTAGCACAAAACGAGGCTTGAAGGGTAGGATGGGGTCAGATTATTATCCATGGCCTTTTGTGATATGTTTAAAGGAAATTGGTCTTTATTCTAAGAGCAGTGAAAGTGTATGAAGTGTTTGCAAGCAGACTGAAGAATATATTTGAGCATCTAACTGGTTGCTCTGTAATGAGTGATTGTGAGGAGGGAAGTGAGAAGAAAGAGCAACCAAATAAAGATGAAGGTAGCCTGTGCTTGGATGAGGAAGAGGAGATTTGCAATAGCCATGGGAGAATGTGAAAGAAAGAAAGAAAGAACAGAGAACCGCAAGATTGTTACCTTGTGTGGGGTCCTCATTTGAAATTGGTTATGAGTCTGAAATGGAACCAACTTGCCTTTTGGAGTGCTTTTTCCAGAAGACACTTGGCAGCTCAGGTGTAGTCACGCATGGAGAAAGTGGATAATACTGTAATAGGGTTTCTGAATTACTAATTTTGGTGAAAGAGCAGTTTTGAATGATGATCAGAGTCCAGGATATTACCCTGTTGATAGATGGCTAAAGTGGCTTAAAGGAGAATTCTCCCTGGAGGTGGCCCAAAGGCATACTGTTGGGACAGTATTGTAAAGTCAGGTAATTTGAAAATTACATTGTATCATAAAGCTTTGGGGAAGGAAGGCTGTAAATTGGATACCAAAGCAATAGCCGCATGGAGGAGACAATGACTGTGGGTGAGAAATGACAACAGTGATCAGGGAAATCAATTTTTTTTCTTCCTGGCCCTGAGATAAAGACAGTTTGAGGAAAAATGAAAAATGACAACAGAAAAACAAACAACCAAAAAAAGAAAGCAGCCATATTTTGAGTGAGTGCAGTATTGTATTCAGGAAAGAGCCAATTGTGTTTTAAAGTAAGATAGACTTCAGAGAAAGATTGGAAGATATAATTTCCTGGTTGTTGCTGAAGATAATGTCAAGGCACATTGGAATGGTTTGGGAGGTAGAATGACATAGGTAGAATGAATTGACAAGAAGGTACAGGGCTTTCTGGGAATGGACCTTTAACAGCAGGACACAAGGCATGGTGGTCCTAGTTTTAGCTCCTCTCCCGCTTTGCTGTTGTGTATGGATTTTTGTTTTTGTTTTGAGACAGGGTCTCAGTAAGTAGTCCACACTGGCCTTGAACTTACTATGTACTAGGCTGGCCTCAAACTCATGGCAGTCCTCCTGCTTTAGCCCCCCAAATTCTGGGATTACAGGTGTGCAATACGCCCAGTGGCTTGTATTTTAATTGAAGTGAAATTCACACAGCATAAAATCAGCCATGTTTAAATGTACATTCATTGCACTTCGTGAGCTTACAGTGTTGTATAACCATTACCTCTAATTTCAAAATGGTTCCATCACCTCCAGAGGAGACCCTGAACCCATTGAGCAGTCACTCTTGTTCCTTCCATCTACTTTGGGTGCCTTTTCAAGAGTGATAGACATTGGGTCTAATAGCAGGAAAACCTGTATGTCTTGCTAAGGATGATGGTAAGCACAAAAGATTCTTGGAATGAATGATAAACTTAATGTGTGTTGCTTTTGTTTCAAGCTCACATACCTCTGGAACCAGACTAGGGCTGTGGGTATAGCTCCAAGTCAAGGTCACTTGCCTAGCCTGTGGAAAGCCGTGGGGTTAATCTCCAGCACCAAAAATTAAAAATAAATAAACAAGAAAGAAAAGATGCCTGTAAGCCAGGCATGGTGGCATGCCTGTAATCCCAGCACTCAGTAAATTTGAGGCCAGCCTGGACTACAAACGGAAAGTCCCTGTCTCAAAAAACGAAGAAAGAAATGAAAAGATGCCTATAATCCCAGCACTCCAGGAGGCCTAGGCAGAAGGACAGCAAATATGAGCTGAGCCTGGGCAATTTAGTGAGACTGTCTAAAAAAAATTAGAAAGGGTTGAGGATGTAGTTCGGTGGCAGAGCACTCCTGTAGTTCCCCACTACTAGAAAAGAAGCTGTGAGGGCATAGAGAGGAGAGAAAAGACAAGACACTGGAAGCAGGGGACTAGTTAGGAAAGTTCATGCATAAGCTAAGGAAGACCTCAGTGAAAATGACAGCAGTGGGACGAGAAAGAAATTTATAGAACTGTAGTGATAATTGGCAGAAGGTCAAAGGCTACCACGGCTTACCCCTCAGTTACTAGGAGAATGATGGTGTAAGTATAATTGAGAGCAATATATAAGACAGATGGGGGAGAGCTGTATATTAGCCCTTTTTATTTTTTATTTTAGGATTCGGTCTCACTAAGTTTCTCAGGCTGGGCTTGAACTTGTGCTCCTCCTACCTCAGCCTCCCAGTGTGCTAGGATTAAAGGCATGTACCACTGTGCCCAGTTTAATTTGTGCATTTTGATCGTTCCTCAACCTTTTGGCTAAGATCAAGTGTAATTTGTGCATTTTGTTTCAGGTGAAGAGATTAAGATTAGCCAGATTATGATTGTTATTATTTATTACCAGGATTAAAAAATAACAAATGTATAAAATTATATAGTCACAGTAGAAACTTCCTATATTTATAGTCTCATAGCCACCAGTGTCCTTTTTTATTTTTAATTTTTTTTGGTACCGGGGATTGAACTTGGGACGTTAAGCTTTCAAGGCAGGTGGCGGAACCACTGAACTAAATCCCTGGCCCTGGGTCCTTCTTATAAGGAACAAATAGATATTCTATTTTTATTTCCTGTTTAGAAAAGGTAGCACATTCTGCAAGGTTTTCTGACCCTTACTTGATGACTATATAGTGAATATTTTATATCAGTACATAGAGAACTTCTTTATTCTTTCCTCCATTTGAAAAGTGTTGCATTGTGTGGGTGTATTGCAATTTAAGTAGTCCAGTATTGCTCACTCCATTAAGTTTTGGCCAGGATAAAGATAATACCACATTTTTCTATAATTGTCCTTTTACTTACTTAAAAGAGCCATAACCAAAGTGACACAGACAGAGCAAATAACAATGACTGTCAAATTTTTGTTTTTCATGTTCCTGGCATAACAAAATTCAAGAAAGATCATCTGTATTGAATGCCTGTAATACTATAAAGTGTTTATTCTAAGTTATTTTTTCAGTATTAGGGATCAAACCCTGGAGTGCTCCGCCACTGAGCTACATTCCCAGACCTTTACATTTTTTAAAAAAAATTTTATTTTGAGACAGGGTCTCACTAAGTTGCCCATGTGAGACTTGAATTTGTAATTCCCTGCCTCAGCCTCTGTCAAAGCTAGGATTACAGGAGTCTGCCACCATACCTACCTTTTTATTTGTTTGCTTGTTTGAGATGGTCTCACTGTGTAGTCTAGGCTGTCCTGAACTCACCATCCTCCTGCTTCGGCCTCTTGAATGCTTGGATTACGGATACACATGTCATGCCTGGCTATATTAAGAATTTATAACAACTTTCTCTGAATGAAAATCCTTGAATCTGACATATTTGTTTAAAATACAGTTTTTGTCTTTTCCTTAGTGAAAAGTAACAGAAATATTTATATATCATATTGTAAGACTGAGGGCCTTACCAAACGCTCCAAGGAGCCGACTGCAGCGAAGAACATCCAGGAAGGAACACACCGGACAAGTTGGAAAGTAAAACAGACCTTAGTCTGGCCAGATGGCCCTCCCAAAGCAAAGTAGCTTAGAGAGGCCCCTGGCTCAGAGTCCGAGGCTGTTTTATAGGGTGTTGCAGGGGAAGTTAGCAAGCAGAACTTACAGAAAAGAGAAAAAATGTTGATGGTCAAAAGATGTTTGCAGATTGTCTTATAGATAGCTGTGTCTGGAACATCAGTTTCAGACAAACAAGGAGTTGGGTAATTCACTTAGGAACTCTATGTTTGTTACAGATTTTATCTAGTGTCCCAGAACTAACAAGCACATTTTAACCATTAACTCACAATCAGTCACTATGTTGGGGCTGGGGGAGCTTTTATGATTACAGAGTTATGCGGTCCCACATTCCCCACTGATTTTACAACTTAATCTTACATATAAATGTGGGCATCCATTGTATACAGCAGCACGACAATGTTAAGCATATGCACACAACTATAACGACAAGAAAAAGTTGTTTTAACCATTGTAGGTTGGGTAACCATTTAGTTAGCCACTGGAACAAGTCCCATCCTACTTTTTCATCATGTACCCTTTTAGCCAAGTCTTCAAACTGTTTTATCTTTTCTCTAATTCCTGGACTATTGTTGGTCATATTGAAACAACACATATTTTTTATTCTTTCACAACCTTGATGATGAAAGAGCAACAAATAGTCTATAGCTGCCCTATTATCTAAGATTGCCTGTCTCTGTTCTTGTAACTCCTGGTTAATTAATGCCAAGGCTGATGAGGTAGCATTTAACCCTTTGACCACTTTGCATGCCAATTTTCATACTGCCTTTTCAGCATGGACTGCTATGGAAGGCAGAGCAACGAAAGATGCTATCATAGATATCACTTCAGCATCTGTCAAAAGACCTACATCATCATCACATCCTGGCGCAGTATAAGGTGACCAACGTTTAGTTCTATTTGGCATAATCAAATCAGTTCTATCTGGTAAAACTACAGCTAGACGACTCAAGCAGCAACGGGTCTTGGTTAAATTGGCTGGAATATAATTGAAAGTTATTCCTTCACAGGTATAAAACCATCCTGTCAGCAGGGAGATATGGCCACTGTTATACATAATTTTCCATTTTATATGGCAGGGCATCCCTTCAGATCGTTTTATTCTCAGACACTTGGTTGTACAATTTACATACATAGCACATTGGGTATTATTTGACATAATTATCCTGGGTGCATATAATTTGACAGCATTTTTAGGTTTATGATATGAGGGATGCCCCCAATTGTAACTATCTTTATAAGTGAGATTTTTCCCTGGGATATCCTTAAACAGGGTATAGGGCCATATTAAACTTAAAGGGGTGCACACCAGAATGAGATAGCTTCCTAATACATAATGGAAATTTATATCTATATTCAGAGAGAATTCAGACAGATTAAGCGATTTTGCCAATTGAACCCATACATTTCCAGTGTGGTTCAATTTTCTTGCGGGCAGTACCACCAATGTCCCAGAGAATATTATCAAGAATGAGAAATATCTCCAACCGGCCCCAGTCTCAGCTTTCGGTTGCCTGGTTGGCTGATAACCTTCCATTTGTTCTTCGTGACGTCCACAGGGGGTCCTGCCTTCAGATGGTTGCGATGTATCCAGGCAGACTGTCCAGCTACCTTCATTGCCAAGGGAGTTGACAGGACAACAGGAACCAGTCCCTTCCAGTGTGGTTCTAGGGTCTTGGAATCAAACCTGCAAATAAAAACCAAATCTCCCAGCTTATAGGGTAAAGGTTGCAAAGGTTTTTCATTGGGACCAGGCATAGTCTTCCGTAATTTATCATGTAGCTCCGACTGAAGCTGATGGACTGCTTTTAAGGATTTAAGGAGTCGAAGGTGGGAAAGCTTGTTTTTAATTTCCTTTCCTTCAGAGATCAGCAGCCCTCTATTCTGATAAATCTCCGTGTGCACATGGGCCGTGGCAAAAGCATAACGGCTATCAGTGAATATATTTATCCTTTTTCCTTTCCCCAGTTCCAGAGCCTTAGTCAAAGCAATCAGCTCAGCCCTCTGTGCTAATGTCCCTTGAGGTAGCCCCTGCTCCTATTCCACCTGTTGGTCCTGGTTGACCACTGCCGCCCCAGCATACTGTATGCCATCACGCATGAAACTGCACCCATCAGTGTAGACCGTTGTCTCTGCGAGGGGGAGGGCCTGGTCCATCAAATCCAGATGCCCTCCCCTCAAGTTTTCAAGAGTCTTGAGGCAATCATGGATGGGCATTTGTTCATCAGATTCCAGGAGTAGAGTAGCCGGATTGAGGCTAGCAGTGGTAGCAAACCTAATGCGTGGCTGTTCTAATAAGAGTCCTTGATATTGTAACAGCCTGGCATTAGACAGCCATTTGCTAGGTGAGCTATTTAACAAGGGCTGAATGGCATGGGGAGTGATCAAAGTCAAATCCTGTCCGAAGGTCAATTTGTCAGCCTCTTGGGTTAAAGCAGCTGCTGCTGCTACTGTCCTCAGACAAGTAGGCCACCCTCGGGCCACTGGATCGAGCTTCTTCAAGAGGTATGCCACGGGCCGCTTCTATGGCCCCAAAAGCTGAGTAATCGCTCCCTTGGCTGCCCCATTTTTCTCTGCTACATACAGGGTGAAGGGCTTGTTTAAGTCTGGCAGTGCCAGGGCTGGTGCCGATGCAAGCGCAGTCTTAAGCGATTGAAATGCCTGCTGGCAAGCCTCAGTCCATTTGAGGGCCGTATGTCCTCCCCCAGTGGCTTCGTGCAGGGGTTTGGCAATCTCAGCGAAGCCAGGAATCCAAATTCTGCAATACCCAACTGCCCCTAGGAATTCCCGCATCTGTTTCTTTGAGCTTGGCTCCAGAATCTGGAGAATTGCGGATACCCTTGATTCTGCCAGCCTCCTCTTTCCCTTCTCAAGAATATAGCCCAAGTAGGTTACCTTGGTCCGACAGAGCTGAGCTTTCTTCTAAGACACCCGATATCCCAGGTCTTGGAGGGCTTCCAGGAGGCCCTCGGTGGCTGCAAGACACTCTTCATCAGTCGAAGTCGCCACCAGGAGGTCATCTACATACTGAAGAATAGTCGCTTGGGGAAACACTCTCCTTACCTCTTGTAAATCTTTGCTGAGAGCTTCCCCGAACAGAGTGGGGGAGTTTTTGAATCCCTGTGGCAGCCGGGTCCATGTCAGCTGTCTGGTAGTCCTGGTGTCTGGGTCAGTCCATTTGAAGGCAAAGAGGGGCTGGCTCACTGGTGCTAGAGACAGGCTGAAAAATGCATCTTTGAGGTCTAATACTGAGTACCACACATGAGCAGGAGTGATGAGACTAAACAGAGTATAGGGGTTCGGTACCGTTGGGTGGATGGTCACCCGGCCGTTTACCTCCTGCAAATCCTGTACCAGTCTGAAGTCAGAGGTGCCGGGCTTCCTTACAGGAAGCAGGGGTGTATTCCAGGCTGATTGGCAAGGGACCAAGATGCCGGCTTCCTGGAGTCAGTGGATGTGTTTGGATATCCCTACCTTGGCCTCCAGCGGGAGGGGGTACTGCCACACATGGGTGGGGGTGCCAGAGGCCAACAATTGAACCACCACTGGGGCATGGTGTTTGGCCAGCCCAGGTGGATTGGTCTCAGCCCACACCTGGGGAAACTTTTTCTGAAGGTAGTCCCGTTTTTGTTCGGGGGGGCGTTCTGCGCCCTCCTTTAGCAGCTTAAATTCATCTTCAAGGGGAACCGTTACCATAATGGCAGAGGGTGGCTTGAGTTCGAGAGTCCCTCCTTCAGGCTCAAAGGAAATAACAGCCCCCAGTTTTCGTAGCAAATCTCTTCCCAGCAATGGGTATGGGCACTCAGGGATAACTAAGAAGGAATGAGTGACAGTGCCTCTTCCCAGATTTACAGTTCGTTTTGTGGTCCAAGGATAAGAGGCCGACTGTCCTGTGGCCCCGGTAATGGAGGACTTTAGGGAAGAAAGGGTTCCAAGGGGGGTCTTCAGGACAGAGTGGGCCATGCCAGTGTCCACAAGGAATTGGACATCTGTTCCCCCTATTCCCAAAGTCTCCATAGGCTCATGAGGGTCGAGCAGCCATGAGCCTCGGCCCCGTCAATCTTTTTCATCTACTAGAAGAGCCCTGTCTCTTTCTCTCTCTTTCTTTTCAACTTTTCACAATCCCTTTTAAAATGGCCCTTCTCGTTGCAATATGTGCATTGATCCTTTTCTAACAGGGGCCGTACTTTACTTTTATCTTCTTTTCTATTCTCTTTTCATTCCTTTTGGATGAAACCTCCATCTGCTAAGGCTGCAATAGTTGCTTTTCCTATCTTTTTAGCCATTTTGTCATCTAAAGAATCTCTGTTATTAAATGTCTTCATAGCTACACTCATCAGTTTTTCCCTATTTTCCCCCTCAAATCCTTCCATCTGCTGCAATTTCTTCCTAATATCTGGGGCCAACTGAGTGACAAAAGCCAAATTAATTGCCTGTCGGTTTGCAGGGGCATCTGGGTTAATTGGAGTATACGTACGGTATGCTTCCAACAGGTGCTCCAGAAAGGCAGAAGGGGATTCCTCAGGTCCTTGAAGGACCTCACTTACCTTGCTCAAATTGGTAGGCTTCCGAGCGGCTCCCCTCAAGCCGGCTAGGAGATGCTGACGGTAGTTTTGGAGAGCTTCTCTCCCACCCGAGGAATTAACTTGCCACTGGGGACAGGTGGACAGAAGTTGCGCCTCGATATGGGCTTGTTGTTGCTCATCAAGTGGGCCCTCTGTTCCTCCCAATACTGATTTTATGGCTTGCCCTCGAATTCTTTCTCTTTCCTTGGAGGTAAAAAGGGCTTGGAGGAGTTGTTGACAGTCATCCCAGGTAGGATCATGGGTACAAAAAACAGGTTTTAGGAGGGAGATCAAAGCCTGGGGTTTTTCTGAAAAAAGGGGATTTTGATGTTTCCAATTGTATAAGTCACTGGTAGAAAAAGGGATATAGACATAGTGACCCTGCTCTGTTTCCTGAAGAGGCAAAAGAGGAACTGAACCAGTCCCCTCAGAGGGAGCTTTGCTGGGACCATAAGTGGCCCCTGTTCACGTGTGGGAGAGAGAGGTTACAGAATCTGGAGATTTTTCCTCTTCGGGAAGAGGAGGGTAGAAAGGGTTTTGAGATCTGGGGCCAGCTTTATCAGAGGAGGTGGATGGCTCCACATAGGGTGGAGGTCTTATTAAGGGGGTCTAAGGGATCAGGATCTTGTGAGAGCACCGGCTTGGGAGCCCGGGTTTTGACCTCTCGGGATCCCCTTGGTGCCATAACCAGAATGCAAGTGTCTGTTCGCAGGGAACAATGCTGCAGCCAAGCTGGAGGCTCTTCACAAGCCTGGACCCAGATATTTATATAAGGAAACTGGTCAGGGTGGCTGGGGCGACCAGTGACTTTTCCCCATACAGCCCGACAGAGGCTCGGCTCAAAGGAGCCCTCGGCTGGCCATCCAACTCCAAAGGCTGGCCATTTCAATGGACACAGGGAGGGAAGTTTTCCACGAGAGAATTTAACCCCATATTCGTCCTCTTGTTCGGGGGAAAAAGCCAATTTAAAATTAGTGAGAAAACAATCCAACGGGGTATTTTTGGAGCAGGATCCTCCCATCTCTGCCCTTGATGGTTTGGAAAGAAATATAAAATTAAACACACAACGGACAGGACACTAACGTACGAATGACAAGATGAATGGGCGCCACAACAGAAGTGAAACTAAATCTCCCCTTGTTCCTGAACCTTGGGCTCAGGGGAGGCTTACCGGCCCATCAGCCACCTCACTCCTGACTTAACAAACAGTTGCAAGTGACAAAGAGCTTACCTCCGGAGGTTTTCTGAGGTCTGTGCCCAAGAGCCTCCTGCTGGATCCCGCCACGGAGTCTCGGCCAAATCAGGGTTCCTACCCGGGGATCTCGCTGGGGCCTCCAAAATGTAAGACTGAGGGCCTTACCAAATGCTCCGAGGAGCTGACTGCAGCGAAGAACACCCGGGAAGGAACACACCGGACAAGCTGGAAAATAAAACAGACCTTTATTAGTCTGGCCAGATGGCCCTCCCAAAGCAAAGTAGCTTAGAGAGGCCCCTGGCTCAGAGTCCGAGGCTGTTTTATAGGGTGTTGCAGGGGAAGTTAGCAAGCAGAACTTACAGAAAAGAGAAAAAATGTTGATGGTCAAAAGATGTTTGCAGATTGTCTTATAGATAGCTGTGTCTGGAACATTGGTTTCAGACAAACAAGGAGTTGGGTAATTCACTTAGGAACTCTATGTTTGTTACAGATTTTATCTAGTGTCCCAGAACTAACAAGCACATTTTAACCGTTAAATCACAATCAGTTACTATGTTGGGGCTGGGGGAGCTTTTATGATTACAGAGTTATGCGGTCCCACAATATTAAGTGGACACTTTCACAAATAGCTTCACGAAATTGGTTTAACTTCAGTGGTGAGAAACTGTACACAAAGCATAGTGACTCCTTACTGGATCCCAAGGAATGAAGAACTCCCCCTACACAGTATTGTTTTGAATAGCAGGGTCATAGTGGGCAACATCTGGAGAAGAGCAGAGATTTTTTAGTTGTGCAACTGAGGTCTAAGATTTAAGGTAGCTTTTGCAGTTAGTGGGCAAACCAAGTTTCTACAAGCTACAAAAAAGAGAAACTGGAGGCAGGAGAAGGAAGGTTGCAAACAAGTAAGTGACAGGAAAAACTAAAATGTGACAAAAGAAAGCATCAAGATGAAAAGAAGAAAATTTGGAGGTGAGCCTAAAGCACCAAACTGAGGAGAAAATTCAGATAAGCTAAGTAACTGTGACCTATAACTAACCTGGTTTTGCTTTTGTTTTTGTTTAGTGTTTTGTGTTTTGTGTTTATGTGTGTATATACTGAAGGTTGAATGCAAGAGCTTAAATATGCTAGGCAAGCACTCTACTGGCTGCACTGCCATCACAGGTTTTTACCTTTTATTTATTACACATTTGAACTTTGTTTGGTATCCTAAAGCATTTGGGATTTATAGTGCCAGAGGTGAAACAGGGGCCTGACAAGTAGCAGTTTGTGATCAAGAACCAAACCAGGAAGTCACTGTAGCCCTCTGGCTCTTTCATTTGCTGATATTATGGGCCCACCTTTATCCACCCTAATTTGTAGTTGCTTCCTTGAGGTGCAGATTCTGAAATTCAAATGACTATTTTACCAAATGTGACATAATCGTTCTGTCACTTAGCTCAGATGCCCTAAGGAAACAAAAAGCAACATACAGTTTGTAGTCTCTTTTAACATGTATTGTGAACATTTTTCTTGTTATTAGATTGATTTTCATATTTTTTCCTGAGTATACATTAATGAGTTCTGTAACTGTGTCATAGTATATTCAGCAATAATTTTTTTGAACACGTGGGTTGTTTCCACTATTTCATTATTCTAAACATTCTTGTGACTTAAGATTTGCATAGATTTAAATAAATGTAGATATATACCAAATTTTAAAATCTTTACTGTAAATATATAATCTTATTTTAATATTTGCCTCACTAGTATCTTCATATATATATATAAAGGTAAACTTTCTTTGGTGTATTCCTCCAGTATAGATTACGGGAAAGATAATTTATAATCTTATGTCAGAAGGGTAGCTTAAAATGTCAGTTATATAAGCCACACATGTAATGTCATAGAAGACAGGAGTACTCAGGAAAGACTTTTAAAATACCAGTGTTTGAGTTGGACCTTTGTAATAAATATGGTTGGCTGTCTAATCAGTGGTTTCCTCTTTTGCCCTTCTGGCAATCCTGATTTTGTTATCCTATAGGTTGGTGTACCTGTGCATGACATCTGTAGCCTAGGAACACTAAGCCATTGATTTTCAGTGAGTATGGCAGAGTGGGAAAAGGGGAAAGATTGAGTTCTTTGTTAAGAGTTCTTGATTAAATTATTCCAAAGCAGCTTTATCATCCAGACTCCCTTTCTTCCAGGGGATTTAACCTGGGTCCTGGCACTGAGCTCTATCCTCAGTCCTTTTTTATTTTTACTTTGAGAAAGGGTCTTGCTAAGTTGCCCAGTGTGGGCAACTCCTATCTCAGCTTCCCAAGTAGCTGGGATTACAAGTAAGTGCCACTACACCCAGCTCAAACTTCTTGATACATGAAATAAATGTCTTTGTATTTTATGTCATTTTAAGTAATGCTTCCTTTGTATGTGTGTGTGTTGCTGAGGATTGAACCCAGGGCCTTGCACATACTAGGCAAGCACTCTGCCACTGAACTACAACCACCAGCTCCCATTTTGAGTAATGCTTTCTAAAACTTGCTTCTGAAAGCATTTTGGCAAAACTTTGAGAAATGAAATTGGTTTTCAAAAAGTGAAAAACTCTACATATAACATTTTTAGTGGGAAAATCTAATGATTAAAGGTGAGATTATGTTTGAGGATTAGTAAGACTGATGAACATACGTACATTTCTCCTGTCTTCCACCAAAAAAGGGAGAGTTCTTACTCAGGCCGTATGTTTTCAACAGAAGGGATTGTCTCACACCTAAAGATTCCTTTAGGACTCAGCACACCTATCTCACCTCCTTTTTTCTCTAGGTAAGTTTGAAACTTGGCTTTGAGGTTTAGGATATATATTTAGTTCTCCTAGAAAGAAAACTAAAATGTAAACTCTGTGCATACAAGCTAGTTAGTTTAGTTCTGTGTGCTTATGTGTAGTCCTCATCTGTAGCACAACACACAGGGGTTGTACTGGCACAGAACTCGTTTATTGAAGGATGACAAGTTATTAAGTAATTAATATTTTTCTTGTACCTTTCAAAATAATTAGTTATCATTAATGAAGAGCTTGATACTAATTCTTTTCTTCCCCAACGGGAGAGGAGTGAGAGTCCAAAATTAAGGTCTTATCTTTGCATACTTTGTTTATTAGAAAATAAGTGTTTAACCATGTCCAGTGAGGTAGCCACCATGGGTCCTGGGGACATAATGGTGAATAGGCTTGAACTAATCCCTCCTTTGATAGAACTAGGAAGACAGATATACAAATAAACACTAAATGGTTTCTGATGGTGGTTAAGTAAGTGCTAAAAGAATATAACTCAGGGTTATGGTAGAATTTTAGATTGGGTGGTCAAGAGAAGTCTTATTTGGAAACTTAGTACTTAAGCAGTAAAAGCAACCAGCTATGAAAAGCATATTTTAGGCAGAATGAACAAAATCTCTAAAAGAAGTGTAACCTTGGGGTATTCAAGGATCAGAATGAAGGCTCTTGTGCCTAGGACCTGGTGAGTGATAGGTAGAGGCAAAATCTTGTGAGACAGGGTACATTATAAAAGGAATTTAAGTTATACTGTATGCAGTATTGCAAGATTTTAATAGAGACATGACAGGTTTGAGTTATAGTTTTAAAATATTCTGTTTACCCTCTCAAATGGGTTGTAGCTCTGTTTTCTAAAGAAAGCACGGATCAGAAGACACTGACAGGTAATACAAAGCTAGTGTATAAGTTATAGGAAGCCCTTATTTAAGTTTTTCTACCTTGAATCCACCCTTTTACTTTTACGATTTTAAAAACTAAGTTTAGCAGTATTTCAGTTGAGTTTAATCCTTCTTATATAGTTTCCTTATTATAAACTCTTTCAAGAGAAAAACTTAAGATAAAGATGAGGAAATTAAATCCAAAATAAGCAAAAAGGAAAAATCCCAGCACTCTGGAACCCTGAGGCAGAAGAATCACAAGTTCAAGCCCCACCTGGTCATCTAAGAGACACCCTCTTTCAAATTTTCAAGAAATGGGGGATATAGCTCAGTGTGAAGGCCCTGGGTTCAATCCCAAATATCACAAAATTATAAAAATTAAAAAGGAAAAGAATGATAGGAGAGATGTATATGATAGTGAAAGAATAGAGTACTGAAAAAGGAAAGCACTAATGGGTGTTAAATCTGGGAACCAAGATCAAAGATAATCTTAACAAGATAAGAAAAGAATGATAAAAGGCCTGGATGGAAAGAATTTTAACTACAGGGAAAAAGGCATTCATCTCAAATACAATTAAGACCTACATGGGGCTGGGATTTAGCTCAGTGTTTCCCTTGCCTGCCTTGCAAGCTCAAGGTCCTGAGTTCAATTCCCTGGTACCCCCCCCCCCAAAAAGACCTACAGAAGGAAAATTGATAAGAAACTAAATACACAAAGAAAAATAAATTGTCCCAGTGTAGTGACACATCAGTGTAGTACAAACTATTCTGAAGGCTGAAGAAGGAAGATCACTTGAGCTCTAGAGTTCAAGACAAGCCTGGGTAACATAGCAAGATAACATCAAAAAAAAAAAAAAAAAAAAAAAGAGGGCCTGGATCTAGCTCAGTGGTGCCACCATCTGCCTTACAAGCGCAAGGTTGCAAGTTCAATCCCTGGTACTAAAAAAAGAGCAAGAGGAAAAAAGGGACTATTTGCAACATAGGAGAAGTCTAAGGATTAAGGAGGGGAATAAGTATCTTGGAATCAGAAGCACAGGGTAACCAATAACAAGATAATAAGCTGTATCTTTAAGCAAGCATGTAACATACTTTGATCATGTTTACCCCCTTTTCAAAATAAAAAAAGGGTTGTATAATGTGCGTAATTTATCAGAAACACCAGTACCTTTCCTAGTGTATTCACCAAAAAGTTATAAAATGTGCCTAGTTTACCAGAAACAACAATTTGATACTGTACTCACCATTCAAGTTGACATCTCCGGCTTGCAAGGAAAGGAGAATGAAATGGAAGGTAGGGAAGCTCAGCTGGTCCCAGCACCTGGAAGGAAGCTCCCCGCCTCCATCCCAGGCTCCTAGGGCAGAGAAGCTCAGCCAGTCCTAGCACCCAGAAGGAAGCTTCCCCACCACCATCCCAGGCTCCTAGGGCAGAGAAGCTGAACTGGTCCCAGAACCCGGAAGGAAGCTCCCCCACTGCCATCCTAAGCTCCTAGGGCAGAGAAGGTGAGCTGTGTGGGCCCCAGAAGCATCTCCCCCCCGCCCCCCGTGGAAATGAGAAAACACATAAACAAGCCTCAAAAACAGACTTCCAGATCACCTACAGCAACC